ATACATAATAGCGAAATATATCTTCAATGGTCACTAGTCATCGTGACATCTGCTATTCGCTTTCTCGATCACAACCTCATCTGCACTCAGAGGCTACCAAAAATTGCTTCAAAGCGCAATTTCGCTATCCATTTCAAGGAAAAATTTCTACGTAAAATATAAGATATGGAAAACGTGGAAGAAAACACAGCGCTTGTCCGAATCTTTTACTGAGAATAGTTCCATTTTATGGATTTGTTGTGATAACTTTCTTATCGATTAGAAGTAGTTCATCAATGAGAGATGCTAATACTGAAAATTGATTTTTTATTCCCGATTTCGGCTGATGTTTTTTCCCTTTTCCTTTTTTTGTTAACTTTATTTCGACTAGTTTCATGATAGCACCTGTGGCTCTAGCTTTTCATTGTAGCGCACCTTCAGAGCGCATTCAATAAATAAACGCCTAACCTGATGGGCGTCAGTACTAGGCAGGAGGTATGCCTTGATAGGAGTTCCATTCGTCACACTTAGCACTTTTTCTGAGGAGAATCGAGCTCGAAGCAAATCAACCTTGCTGGACATTGCTTTGTAGAGGGAAAACCTTAAGAAATTTTTCTTCAAATTCACTAACAAACGATTTATTTGTGACTGAAAAAGAGAATGTTGACCACTCTTTCGAGTAGAAGGAATATCTCCGACAACAATCGGCAGGGTAAGAAACGCGTCAAGGACATTAGCAAATACGCGTGCGCAAAACTTCATAAAATTCCCCAAAAACTTGCAAATCTTCCCAAGGATTCCCACACTACAATCGATCCTACTACCATGCTCGAAAATTCAACATTAATTCGACCTGATACAAGGCACTGTCCGCGGAAAGCCACATAAGACTCAAGTCCAGATTCCTCGAAAGGTTATTTGGTTGACCCTGACAATTGGATACCAGCTGAATGGATAACCCTCATCGGACACGTCTTCAGAACGAATGCTGGTTTCCGAATTCAAAGGAAAGCAGATGAACTCACAAACCTTCAGTTCCCCGCTTGCAAGCTACAGCAATTCGTTTCCTAAGCAATAACCAGAGACAGAAAGCGCAGTGGATAGAGGCGCCACCTAGTACTTGTGCGGCTTTTAGGATGAGAAAGCGACGAGAAATTTAAGCCTTCTCTTGCTTCAGGTTTAGCTAATCGATGCCGAAATAAGCCAAATAAACGATCTTGAACATTTGTTCAGCCTATAACACAAGTTTTGAGAAACACACATTCAATCGATTCTATGATTTCGAACAGAAGTGAGAAGCGCAGTGTATCTTAAAAACAAGAAAGAATGGCGGTAACTACGCTCTCTAATTATAACAGTAAGGTAAATTGATTTCTCAGTCCTTGTTTCCAGCTCAACTTGGGGAAAAATTCATCGCTTGTCACACACTTAGATATACGCCGCGCATTCGACATTGGAAAAGCGATCTCAGATGAAGAAGAGGCTCTCAGATGAAGAAGAGTTCCACGCGTCATTCACGGAAGGGCTCGAGCTAAGAGCCGGTTGAGGATTGTCCGAAAAAGCTAAGGCTGCTCAGGATCAAGGCTACTCGACATCAACGACATGATAGTAATGAGACGACGATAGCGATAACTTCTGCACATCATTGAGCCGTAGCCACCACTTCCACGTCCAAATCGTCGGTGGTGAAGTTCTGAATTGAGCTATCGGTAAGGCGCCATTGCGCCGCCGAAGCGATCATCGATACCTCTTCATTGGCTAGATTTCCTACCGAATCCACTCTGTAACTTTACCAGTCGTTTCCATGGGAATCGTCGCGACCAGCTGCTTTGAATGAACCCACTAACCCTCCTTGGTGACTGGAGACTAGGCCTATGTAGGTGGGAATTGATCACGGGAACTGTTTGATACCACGCGATATTCACCCCTGGGCATTACGCCATCACAAGTTTCAACCAAAACTGAGCCGTTGAATTGGAACCAGTAGGGGTCTACCTGGCAAGCCCAGCTATTATCATCACTTTATTTGCGGGTTGTATTTCTAGAGCTTAAGTGCCAATATGAGCACTCAAGCAGATATCGTATCGGAGGGTATTCTTACGCGCACGGAGCTCCCTCCTTAGAAAGGATAGTCCAAAATCATCTGAGTGTGTTTGTTTACTGCGTTCGAAAAACGAAGGAGAGGTGCAATTTGGAGCGCCAGTGAGGGAGAAATGGCTGAAAATACTTAAAGCAAAAGCTGTAGCAAATCGTGTCGAAGAATTTAACCAGTGGAAGGGATAGAGTAGCTTACGAGTATCACAGTATCTGTGCCGTTGTCGTCTCGAAAGTGCCGGAAAAGGTACTAGGGCTTTCCAAAACGAACTCGCTAATAACTGAGATAACTCGCGCTCTACGGTTGCGCTTGAAGAGCTCGTCTAGATACGCCCTCTCCACGTCATCATAACCACTCGCTGTTACCCACCAATTTGAACAGGGATTGTGTTTTGAAACAAGAAACTTTTTGGTCGGTGGACAAGTGTACGACGAAGAATGAGTGAGCGTAGACGAGGGACATGGGAGACGAGAGAGACACCGGCACCTCGTCACCTGGATAGCTGCATCCCATGAAAAAGGAGCGGTACCCAGCGGCGCAAATGACAAGACCATGATGCCCTTGTCGCGAACTCTACAGCTGTGGAGACGCTACATCTTCTACCTTTAGAGGTAGCTCTATCCTTCTCACGGAGAATTCCAGTAGGTAACTGATAAAAAGTTCACCTATGCGTCACTAAGAAGCGCGTGACAAGTGAGGAGATACCGCAATGGCTCCGATACCTATTGATCGGTGACTTAAAGGCAGCGATTACGATAAAGAGGGAGCGCATCGGGGAAGCAGCATATGCACCACACGAATCAGTTACTTGGCTGCCAGGAAGCGAGGTGTGGCGCTTTCACGACGAAAGGTGCGCTGGTTGCTGAGCAGGACTTCGAAAGCACTCCGCCCCAAAAGCGATCCGCCCACTAGTTTAGTTGGTGATTTGGACGAGCTGCGTTGCCAGCAGCGGCACAACTGGAGCAACTCGATTGGAGCGTGGTTTGGCATGTGCCACCAAACGCGTTGCGATGAACTCGTTCATACGTCCGCTTTCTGAGCTGTTACCTGTTCATGAGTGAAAACCAACGGCCAAAAAAGGGGGTCCCGTTTTGCGTTTTCTTGACGGATTTCTCCGCTTTTTTCGCCACTGGCGTACCATTGAGCACCACCAGTCTCCTATAAACCCTTCTTGAACCTATCGTAATCACTGCCTTTAAATGCTAGTTATTCGAATTGACTTCTAACAGATCAACAGTTACAAATGGCCGATTTCAGCCAAAGTAATGCTCTCTCCACCATCCAGCTGTCGACGGTAATAGATTGCTACCTAGTCCTATGAACTAATAACAAAAGAAAATAAACAGTCCACCCCCGCCGCCCCGAACTATGAGCCTATAAGTTTGTCGGGGGAGAGACTCGTATACAGGACGTCGTCTTTCGCTCTAGATCTTCCGCGCAAAAAAATCGAACTTCTGAGCCTTGCCAATGGCGACTCCCTCCATCCTAAATACGTGCCTCATTCGCAACTATGCCAGCAGGCGTAAACACTCACCGCCATTAACACATCAGCTAAAGAATTCCTCCAAGATTTAATATGGCCAATGCCCTGCAGATCGAAAAAGCGCAGAACAATAGCACAAAACTGCACTGATTTTGACATGGAGGCAGTGCGCTCGCGCTCGCGCGTAGAGTCCCACGACGAATGGAGCACTGTAGCAGGTCGATTAGACAAGCTATTTATTACTGGGTTTCGGAAGGCGACGTTTTAGGTTTTTCCTGCGACTGCAGATGTCGCGAAAAAGAAGTCGAGAAGAAAAAAAAAAGAACGCAAAGAATTCAGATCAAGTGAAACAGTTTTGAATAGCGTGTGGCAGAGACTTGGGGCGATGACAACATGCGATACTGCCTTATCTGACATTACAATTACCAATCTGCTGAGTCGACATGTTCAAAATTTAGATAGATAATGTTCGATGAAAAAACAACATAAAATCAGCTATAAAAAGCAGAGCTTCTGCGTCATCCATAAGAGGGGCATTGCTCGGGGCCAGTGTCTGCTCTACATGCCAATTTCTGGCTCAAGGTAGTCTTCGAAGTTACGAGCGCTATCGGCTTTCCTATGTTATCTTAAGTCTTTGTACGTCATATATTATTACTCTTTACTAGATACATTAAGGTGCTAAGAAAAAGGGTCTCATCGTATAAGGGGGGCAGTGGCTGCCCTCACCCCCCACCCCCCTAGACTGCCTACACTCCCCCTGGCGCACAGGTTTCTCGAAGTACGGGACCCCGTGAGCCAGGGGGAGTGAAGGCAGTTCTAGGGGGTGGGGGTGTGAGGGCAGCCACTTGATGCCCCCCCCCCCCTTACTGGATGATACTCACAAAAGTAATATTCATCTATTCAGCCGGTTCGGGACTAAGCCTAGGAGGGAGGAAAGTCCCCCGGGGAAAACCAAGATTGCTCACGGACCCGGGGCTCCCTTCTAATGCTTAGTCCTGAACGTTTACAATAAAAGAATATGCTTCCGTGGTTTGAAATGCTCTAAATCGCTCATGCCCCCCCCTTACCGGATGAGCGCCGAGCTTAAAGCTGGAATGTATTGATCAAAGCAAGAATTTGGAATTAGGGCTGGTTACATGGCACAATTACAGGATTGCCAAAGAGATGAACAATAAATAAAAACGAGGTGATGAGAGCTTTTAGAACTGAATCAAATTACCTGGTATAACTATGACGGAGATGGAATCTCACTCCTTGGACGATTAGCATGCGATAAAACAATTGAATCGAGGAGATGCTCAAAATAATCTGCTGATTCAAGAAATCTGATTAATATGAAAGTAAAAGAAGTGAAAGCAGACTTCAGGGAGGGAAAAAAGACGCTAGACAAAAACCAAAGGAAAATATGTCCGCAACTACGGATATCCGGAGCCCTCCGCGTCTCGATCCTCCGAATCTCTGCTTCTTTGCGTTATAGCTTGTTTGGAGTTCTTCGGCTGATCACACATTTGCTTACAAAAAAATGGCAAAATTATTTGTACGGATCTCGAGGGCTTAAAAGCAAGTATCTGCGAAATTCTTCACAGCTGAGATTTCTCATTCAGCTTCCCAGTGTGCACATGCACCAAGAAGACACTTTCCACTCTAATCATGGGAGACTGAGATAAATTTCTGCAACAAACCCGCTCCGATCAAAACATTCATCACAACAAATCAATTTAATCCGACGACAAGTCCATTTACGGAGCGCGGGTAACCGTGCCCCCTTTGCAAGTGGTGCTTTCGTTGCCTGCGTCTCGTTTTCTCGCCGCCACTGCAGCAATTCGCGGACGTTTCCGCTCTCTATTGTGTAAACTAGAAGTAAATTCATCGATCCCGTTTGAAAATCTGCACACCTTTTCTTTCCTGCATATGAAACACTCATTTGTGCGTTTCAAAGTCTTGAGAAATCGTTTGGTTGGTGGGGCTTTGGCGGCCGCCCAGACTTCCTCAACTTGGCTTGATTTAATGCCTACTGGTGGAATCTTATATGAAGCCGTATCTCTTGTACTACTGCGCTACTGAAGTCCTAGCGATAACGAGAAATAAATGAAACGATTAAAGGAAAAGTGTGCGCTAGGTAATCCTATAGGTAATATCCAAATTCGTCGCCGTTATCTTTCGGTAGTTCTTCTACGAGCGTTGCATTTATGATGCTCACCGCGAGTGCTAACATTTGAAATGCTGCTGCAAAACTGCTCATCATGCTTTCCTCGCGTGGTCTAGCTAGAGCATCGAACTTATAATCATTTCCTCTCCACGGAAAACGGAGGTACTAGCAAAGCATGCAGCGTGTCCAGAATGCGTTTTATCCCACTCATTACAGTTCCAGTTTATCGGTTTATTCTTCTGCTCTGCTATTAGATGCACCTCTCTGCTTGTTTGCTCTTCTTTCAAATAAAATGAAGTGCCCATATGGTGAAGCGTAGCATGCATTCTCCTTCTAGGATTAAGTGTCATCGTCCACCAAGCTTAACGCCCTTCTTACCAATATAGACTGCTTTACTGAACGTGACGCCCATAAAGTACTAATAGCAAGGTTTCAGATCTCCGATTCATGCAAACTGAGCTCATTGCGCACTCGCTCCAGCTTCGATCAGCTAGCATGTCATCGTTCGGCCATTTTCCATCTTGATACTCAACTGGCAAAGGTGGTTTTCTAGGCGAACATACTTGTAATTCATGGGATTAGATCTCATCTATTATCGCTGGCAGATTCCATTCAGACTATAGTATCTCGCTAATTACTATCGCCGGAGATTAGCGCGATATGGCGGTTCATTGATCGATTTCTCCCCTTACTCATGGATCGTGAAGAGGATGGATTGGCTTGTCCAGTGATCTCTAATCAAGATGCGACTTTCGTCTACATCAAGCACAACAATATCTATCGTAGGTTTACTATATTGATCATATCAATGGTCATTACAGTTTATAGCGAAGAGGAATAATCTCAGCCTTAGGACTATAGCCATTGGGTTCGCCACCAAAACATACCTTTTCGCGCGTTCTCGACTGACAGCGCGAGGTAAGTGCTCAGGACTTCGCGCATTACAGTACGCGAAGGGCGCGAGGGCGCCCGATTCTAGCGGAGCGCTGAAGGGCCGCGGCGGCACGACGGCTCAATTCATCGGTCGGCCTTAATCAGGTTTCACGCGGCGAGCATCGCCGCGCGCGGCAGTTGGAGCGGCGATTTCTGTGTGGACCCTTTCTTAGCCATCCATGTTCATAAGTTGGCTAGGTGACTGATAAGACCAGAGTGCTGGACATCAGTAAGCCAGCAAGCGTCACTGTAAGATCTCAGCAGTGATTTAAGCCTCACAGTACAAAGGTTGTACCGTGTAAAAGTTGTCTTTTGGAATTTAATTATGACTTCTTTATTAATCAGCCCTAAGCCCCCCCCTCCTGAATTTATCTATCAGGCGCCCGTAATTCTTGCCCGTCATCTGCGGTCAAGATTTATCACGCTAATCAAGGACACAGAGACAGATAACGCGTGCAGGAAGGCTCTAACCAGCGCGCTGATATGATAAGTGCTAATAATGGCAGATCGCGAAAACGAAACGATGCATATTTAAAAGGCCCTCAGGCGTAGGTTCCTATTCCATGTTTCATGTAGGGAAACAATCTAATCTTACATTCTCCCAATGGTTTGATGCTGAGTTCTTTGCAAATTCGCCGCGATATTGCTGGCTGCGGCGGCCTGGCGCGGCGACCTACTTACTGCCACGATTGAATCGTCACGCACCCCGTGAAGGGGAGGCGGCTGCCGTGATCCTTCTCCAACACTTTGAAGCATGCGCGAGGCGAATCGCCGCCTAGCGCTTCCGCCTGGCGCGCGCACGCGCAACATTGCGTGATAGAGCGCTGTTCAAATCCTACTTGCAGCAGCGCGAGCAGCTGCTATCGACGCACCGTTCGCCGGCGGCCGCCCGAAGCAACGCGAGATATTCATTGGAGCGTGGGGCCGCGTGTCACTTTCATCCGTTGGACATCCGGTATTGGTGGCGATGCCCCACCTACTGCTAAAATCGATGGCTCGTCCGACTCGCTACTCGCGATTGCATTCGCGAACTCTGACCCCTATAGGAGGCTCTATTGGTACGATACCCTGCTCCTACCCCATGAGCGATACGTCCCTCTTTGATCGCTCGCCAGCTGTGTCAAAACTACGCCGCACACCAGTTCGATTACCTGCCTTCTTGGCGCCTGATCATCTTCCCATAGTAGTGCTCGACTTAATTAGACGAACTAACTGCAAGAAATCCCTATTTCTTCAATAAGAATCACTTTCTCAAAAGTTCAATCAAACACACCCCAATTCTGAAGATGTCCTCGATCGGGGGAGGACGTGGGGGCGAAACGGGTGCTTCCATAAAGGACCGAAACGGTAATGTTTTTTGAGTTTCACGCTGCTTTTTTGCTTCATGCACGTTTTCCCATTGATTCTTACCACACCCCCATCTTTCCCAGGGATCACAGCGGACAGTCTGCCCCTGCAAATTTCCCTTTTATTCATTTCTTGTAATTGCAGTCTTATACGACAAAATCATTTTTTTATGCGCCTAGCCTTAGTTTTCTACACGTTTGGATGTCGACTCGGCACGCTACTAGCCTGAGCCCTGCTGAAGCGGCCGCTACAAGAAATTCCAAGGGCGCGAGGAAGGAGAGGCACGCGATGGGATTCATAAAGAACAAGGAAAAATAGATATCATTACAATGGAAACAAGCTGAATTTTGTAGGGCATTTATTCTCAGTGTTTAAAAACGCTGCGAAGTATAGCGAATATCTGATTTGTGGAACAAAAAGATGATCTATTTTTGAATTAACCTTTGGGAAAAGATGGCTGGCAAAGTCATTACACTGAGTAACCTTCTCATTTTCGAGTAAGGAAAACTACAGTGAGGATTTCCAGACACAGTGCCTGAAAGCCCTTCTCTTTGCTCTTTTCGCACTTTCCCACATTGAAGAAATTTAAGAGGAAAGATGAAAACTTATTATAGTGGTATTGTAGTAGTAGTACTATTGTAATAGGGCTTCAAATTACACACCGCCGCACTTGACCTTGTCATAGACCCGCTTAAGCAGAGTAGCTCGTAGCACGTGCTCATTCTCGGAGTGACCCGCTTTGCTTACCTTCCTTTTAATATTCTGATTTCAGTAGTTTCAACGTGTCGTACAAATGTTAACGTTGCTCTGGTCCTGTCGTTCCTGTTCAAATGTGTTGAGGTTGGTAGCATTGTCATAGCATTGTAGGTTATATCGTGTTAGGGTCTTCACAATGAGTTGAAATAGATTTTTCTCCTAATATTTTTTGATGTCGCTATTTTATTTTTTTGCTGCTTGTCGTGACCATGATATAGAGAACAAGCCTGGGTTCGCATGCTGCCTCAACCAAGCCTGCCAGTTTTGGAGCTGTAATTGGTATCGGACTTCCTATAGGATAAGAACAATTCAGCGGACGGGTAGAATTGTAATGGAATGCTACATCACTCTGAAGGAATACGTATTCCATCCAAAAAGGTGTTGATCAACGCTGACCTCAGAATCTATTTTAACGCCCTTGTCTACTAGAGGAGCTTATATTAAAGGGCACATACATTTTCCTTTCAGCAGTAGATTCTTTGTGAACGAATGCTCAATATGAATAGTCTCGAAACATGTTGCACAGAAGCGAAATGCGTACGTGCCTAGAACTAAAGTGCATAAAGCATTCGCCATTGATCAATCCCTTATCGGATTGCGCCATGTATTCCTCTTTCATTCAGAATCATGATGATATCCTGAACTTGTGAGGACCAGCCTATGTACAAGTCCCTGTTTCTCATCCTCCAGACAAGTCTGGTACCAATTAACCGACCCCGGGGGATGGAAAGCTTGGTTGGCCGGAACGACTCACGACCCAGGAATTTCGATACCCGGAGCACACGTAGTGAGAAGCGCCACTCTTCACTACACCACTGTCGCTCGTATAGAGTAGAACAACGTGCACAGAATTTATCAGCAAACAGCAATTTTAACAAATTAACAATTTTAACAATTTTCATAACAATTTTATTGTACTGTAGCCGTGACTTCAGTCTGTACCAGTAGACTCAATAGTACAGACCGGATGAAATCTAACTTGGTCACTTCTCTATTAACAGCTTTTTTTTTGAAATAGCCGCTTACCCCAGTTACCTTAGTTACAACGACTATTTCTCATGCTTCAAGGTCTTCACTGAATATTTCAAAGACGTCGAAGAGGAGTCAGTGCGGGATAACTTTGTTGTTATTTATGAACTACTTGACGAAATGATGGATTTCGGATTTCCACAAACTACCGAGAGCCGTATCCTGCAAGAGTAAGCTATTTTTATCACTGCTTTTTTTTCTGCAGAGCTTCATATTATAATCGCATTGTGTTTTTTACGCTCTCTTATTCCCTTTAGATTCATCACTCAAGAAGGTCACAAACTAGAGGCCGCACCGCGACCTCCAATGGCTGTTACAAATGCTGTTTCATGGAGATCAGAAGGCATCAAATACAGGAAGAATGAGGTGTTCCTGGATGTAATCGAAAGCGTAAATATGCTTGTGAGTTATCTTGAGACATTTAATGATCTTCTTTACGCTTTCGGTTCCGCTTCCAAAATGGATTCAACCTGGTTAGATACCACTTGTTAACTGTACTTGATGTGGCCCTGATCCGCAGTTTCCGTTCGGTTTACCGTCCTTGTTTTTGGTTTATGATCTGCTTTTATTGTTCTGCTTTGTGGATTGCGTTTGTTGTTGTTGTTGTTGTTGTATTTCCTACCTTTTCTTTT